AGGGTCATTTTTAATACAAAATAAAATAAAGAAAATACTTGAACTATAACAGTTATGGAAACTCATTGGTAGAATTCCCTTATGACAGAAAGAAGGCCACGATTCACACCATTTTATCATCCGGAGGGGGGACACATTTAATTACAAAAACAAATTCATACAGCTGTCTTAAACACTTCATACATCCAGCAACGCATCGTCAAAATTCTGTTACCCCCCACCTTCAGTCCATTTCAGGCTGCATTTATAGTTTCCACATCGCATTACGTAACTGCACATGCACAGGAATATCATGTCGAAAGCTTACTGTAATTCACGTGGGCTGGTCTGCGTCAAAGTCACTCCGACCGCCAAAGAATGTTTATACAGATGTTCTCTGTTTTGCCAAACCTCCTCATACATCATCTAATTGCGTACGAATAAGGCATTAGAGACTTTATTATTGCTAAGGCTCATACTTGAACTTCAACATGTACTGTTTTGTTGCTAAGTTTTGTGGCCACGTGTGACAATATATATAAGGCAATAATACTGCTTCTACATTCCCCCCTGTAGTTCATTGCAAATGAAATACTTTGTGATGTTACATGGTGATGTGAATACTACGCCACTAAGCGCACTTAGATGTATGTGAAGTTTAAATGAAAAAAACAAAATTTTAGCGTTACCGACACAGCCTGATATGGATGGAAGTCGGGAGATATAAACCTTTAAATGAAACCATTAACTAACCCTTACTGAGTATCATAATTAATAATAAAAGTCAGTCAGAAGTCAGTCAGTCAGTACTCCTCTAAGCAGCCAGCTATGGAAGGTTTACAATGTCAAATAATAAAACAGTAATACAGGTTATTATGCAAAGCAATGGCATGTTACAAACATCAGGTTTATATTTGCAGAATACAAGAATAATTGATACTTGTGTTGTCTTCTTTTCTGTTGAAAAAAAATCAAAAATATAGTTCTTTCACTTCAGGGCTCTGTCCTTGGCTTTTAAAAAGCATGACCACAGGATCACAGGTTCCCGCCTTCAGTATTTTGCAGGCGGAAGTCGAAGGTTTGCAGTCTTATGCCTGGGGTCACAGGTCTTTACAATGTAAAGAAAGAATTTAAGTTCATGTTCATTTAAATGAATCATCAAATACTAGTTAGCCTTTGAATATTTGCTCTTTTTTTCTTGAAAAATCAAAATAAAGAAGCTAAAGGTTCAATATATAAAATAATAAAGTGTGGTATAGCTGTTATATATAGATTATATTGGTCAATATCTAAAAAAAACTCTTTTATTCATGTAATCTTTAAGAAATAATAATGATCAGTAAATTTTTGAATATTATCACTTCCACCTCTTCTTGACGGCAATAAAGAGTTCGGTACTGCTGGTGTGAAGTCAGCTTTATTAAAATTCTTCTTATAATTTATTTTCCACTGACACCAAAACCACCGTCGAACTAAAATACAACATAAACTTAAATGAGATGGTTTCATGAGTACAAAATGACATAAAAAATTATATAAATACATATAAACATACCTCGCTGGCTGACCCTTCCTTTTGAGGTAGAAATGAGAAATAAAGGACCTTTTAAACTAAAATTTCTCTGTAAAACTTCTTGCAAATGTCATGCCTTCATGCTGTGTGCATCCTTTTCTTCTAGTTTTTCAGCGAACATGCTAGATTCCACACTTCCTAAAGAAGCCTTTCAAAATAAGACTCATAACAAAAAATTGCATAATACAAAGTAAAACATGTAAACCAAAAAATATGGCAGTAAAACTCCCACCAAATCACTAACCTATAGTGATTTAACTTCAAGCATGTAACATTGCAATAGGAATATATTTACATTTTAACATTTACTGTGCTTCCAGCAACAACACAGTTTTATGAACTGGTCTATCAAGATACACTGGCTTGACAGTCCTTAGTCCATTCTTATCCAAGGTCGAATCACCTAACAACAGTTTCACCTTCCTGATCCTTCCATCTGCGCTTGGATATACATCTGTTACTCTTGCAAGTTTCCACTTGATCCTTGGAGAATTGTCCTCTTGAAGAATAACAATGTCATTCACCTTTGCATTTCTTTTGTCTCTTTGCCAGATTTGTCTCTGCTGAAGATTAAGAAGATATTCTTTCTTCCACCTTGTCCAGAATTCATTGGCTAAAAACTGAACTTGGCGCCACCTCTTTCTCAAGTACAAGTCCTGGCTCACAAATTCACCAGGAGGGGGCAGAATAACACCAGACTTCATCATGAGAATATGATTTGGTGTAAGAGGCTCTAAACTTGGATCACTTAGGTTTTCTACTGTTAGCGGCCTGCTATTCACAATAGCCATCACCTCATACAAAAACGTTCTGAGGGAAGAACTATCAAGTCTCTTAGAAGTTTTATCAAGAATAGCAGTTAAAACACTTCTAATGGTCCTAATCTGCCTCTCCCAAACACCTCCCATGTGGCTTGAAGATGGGGTGTTCAGAACAAACTCACATCCATATTGTTTCAACTGTTCTTTGTCACAGTCCTTCAGTGCATTCAAAAACTCTCCTTTAGCACCAACAAAATTAGTCCCTTGATCACACCTGATCTGTCTTACATATCCACGAATAGAAATAAAACAACGCAATGCATTAATAAAAGCATCAGCAGTAAGGTCATCTAACATTTCAATATGTATTGCCCTGGAACACATACATGTAAACAAAAGACCATACCTTTTAAGTTCCTTTCTGCCTTCTTTTACATAAAAAGGTCCAAAACAGTCAACACCACAGTAAGAGAATGGGGGTGTTGTTTCCATTCTGTCCTCTGGTAAGTCTGACATCTGTTGATCTTGGGTATGCCTCCTGTACTTCCTGCAGGTTGTGCACTTGAAGATGTGTGAAGCAACTGCACTGCTGCATCCTGTGATCCACAGTCCATTGGAACGCAGCTCATTTACAGTAATTCCTCTTCCTTGATGCTGCACCTTCTCATGGAAGTGTTTAATCAGTAAAGATGACATATGACTTGATTTGGGAATAATGGCAGGATGTTTGATGTATGGGTGCAGACTTGCTCTTGTTAAACGTCCTCCCACCCTGAGTACTCCTTGCTCATCAACAAATGGGTTTAAGCTATACAGCCTGTGTGTCTTATCCTTGAGTTGAATGTCCTTTCCTTGGGTTAAGTCCTTGATTTCCTTGCTGAAAGTGTTTCCTTGTGCAAGTTTTATTATGAACAGTTCTGCTTCTCGTCTGTCCTCAACACATGTGCTTCCACCTTTTGTTTGTGTGTCTCCTTTAAAATCTTTCACAAATTTCCTTAAACGAGCAATAGCTTTAACAGCTCTTCTCCAATCAGAAAATTTGTTGAGACGATCAAGTATTGTTCTCTTTTCTTGTACTTCTGTTTTGAGCACATGTACGGCTTTCAGTTCTGGGTCATTAGAAACAACTTCACTTATCTTGTCAGTTTCAAGGGGTAGTTCATTTTGCCACAAAAACTCTGGTCCTTTAAACCAGTTAGATTTGAGAAGCTGTTGGACACTTAATCCTCTTGATGCATGGTCTGCAGGATTATTCTCAGATGGTACATGATGCCACTGCTGTGGGTCTGTGAGTGATTTTATTATTTGAATCCTATTTGCCACAAACACATGAAATCTTTTGGCATCATTATTCACATATCCTAACACCACTTTAGAATCTGTCCAGAAATGTTCTTGAAGATTGCTGATCTCCAGTTCCCTTCTTAGCATTACACTTGTTCTTGCTGCAACTACTGCAACTGTTAACTCAAGTCTAGGGACAGTGGTGACTTTGGTTGGAGCAACGCGTGCCTTTCCCATGACTAGCACACAGTGAACATCTCCTTTGGATGTGACTGTTCTTAAGTAGCTACATTGTCCATAGCCTGTCACACTGGCGTCTGAAAAATGATGTAAATCACACTGTGTGATGTCTCTGTTTTCAGGTAGTATGCATCTTTGGATTCTCACCTTTGACAAGTTTTGAAGATCTAGGAGCCAGGATTCCCACTCTCTGTAGAGTTGATCCGAAAGAGGCTCATCCCATCCAACCTTTTCTTGACATAGCTGTTGCAAGATTTGTTTTCCTTTAAGGATGAAGGGTGCCACAAATCCCAGTGGATCATACACTGATGCTACTGTGCACAGGATTCCTCTTCTTGTCATTGGGTGCTCTTTGACTGTTATCCTGAACTGAAACTCATCAGAAGAGATGCACCACATAACACCAAGTGCTCTTTCCATCAGTGGCTCTCCAAGTGCTAGATCCAAATCTTTAACACTGTCAGCACACTCCTCTCTGGGCAGCGACTTTAACACATTGTCACTGTTTGAAACAAATTTGTGTAATCTTAATTTGCCTGTGCTACACAGCTCTCTTGCTTCTTTTACTAATTTGATTGCTTCTGCTTCAGATTTAACACTTACAAATTTCTTTGAATGAACTTCACTGTGTTTGGAGAGAACTTTCCCTCACCTTGTGTGGCTAGATGTTTTAAACCAAAATTGGCACAACCAGGTGAAGAAGCTGCACCAAACAGGTGAACCTTCATGCGATAGACTGAGGGGGGAACACTTAGATCACCATGCTCCCACCATAGGAAGCGTAAATAATCCTGGTCTTGGGGCGTTACATGGAACTGGTGAAACATACGTTCCACGTCGCACATTACAGCCACTGATCCTTTCCTGAACCTACAGAGTACTCCCACTAAAGTGTTTGTTAGGTCAGGCCCTGTAAGCAGGTGTTCATTTAGCGAAGTGTCTTGATATTGTGCAGAGCAGTCAAAAACTACACGAATCTTGCCAGGCTTTTGAGGGTGGTATACCCCATGGTGGGGAATATACCAGGCAGGGGAATTACAGAGTTCTTTCTGTGGCACTTTCTCTGCGTCACCACTTGCAATAATGTCCTCCATGAACCTTACATAATCAGAGAAGTACCTTTGATCCCTTATGAATCTGCGTTTGAGACTGTTTAAGCGTTGCATTGCACATGACGTGTTGTTGGGAAGATTTGGTCTGTCGTTTTTGAAAGGCAGGGGCATTTCAAAATGTCCATCCTGCTTTTGTTTTATTCCTTCTTGTAGCTTTCTTATGAAGCAGACATCTTCTTGTGAAATGCTTGTTTCTTCCACTGCTTTCTCTGTAAAATCTGCTTCAAGAGCTTTGATTACATCTGGTCCTGTTACTTCTTTTACTTGTGTCTTGCAGATGTAATGAACCTTATTCTTTAGCTTCATGGTTGGCTCAGTCTCTGGTATTACTTGCTTTACAGTGATGCGATGGCTTACTCCAATAACATCGCTGCCTGCATCAACTAAATCACAGTAACTTATGATGCTCCAGCCCAAATCTGTTTTCTGGGCATAAGGTTGGTTTTCTTCACCACATATGACTTCTCTGGGCATTAAAGCTTGTGTACAGTTGTAGCCTAACAGGAGTCCTATCTCACAGTCCAATGGTGGAGCAATGTATTCAGAGAGATGTTCCAAATGTGGCCATGACCTTGCCGTGTCTGGAGTAGGAATATGGCTACGATTGGCAGGTATAAAATCACGTGTGTAAGCAATTGGCACAGTGAGTTTCTTTTTGGAAAACAATCCTCTTATTTGCAGAGCTTCAAGCTTTGTACATGGTACAATTGTTTTCTTGGATGACATCGTAGATAATTTTAGCTTAACCTGGGTTTTAACTGTGTCCAGATTGTTTGCTACTTCATTGAGAATAAAAGATGAATCACTCTGTGTGTCCAGCAGAGCGTAGGTAAGTATTTCTTTGCTTGGCTCATTTTGTGTGGATACATAAACAGGTACTATTGCAGATGTCTGTGTGTTTCTACTTTCATGAGTCACTCTGTTAGATGTAATTTCGTTAACTGCGTCTTGTGACTGTGTTACCTGTTGCTGAGTTTCCTTCCGTTCAGCTGCTTCTTGGTCTTTCGGTTGTTCTTTCTTTGTCTCTTGTCTTTGTCTTTCTTCATGCAGACATGTGGGATGTCGTTTGGAGCATGTGTTGCATGTCATTCGGTTGCTGCAGTTCTTGGAGAAATGACCACTATTTAAACAGCCAAAACATAGTTTTTCACCTTGAATGAACTTGATTCTCTCAGTAACTGGTTTCTCAGTAAACTTACGACATTTGTATAAGCTGTGTCCTGCTCTTTTACAAAACACACAATAACCCATGCTTCTTTCTGTAGAGATAGTTGTGAAGATTTTTGCTGTATCTTGTTTCTTGTGAATGGGTGTAATTTGAGGTTTTGTCTTTGGTTTGTCAAATTCACTTTGTCTTATAGCTTGATATGATGTAATGGGATTACATGCAATACTTGCCTCCATTGACAGGAATGTTACAAAGTAACTGAAACGGGGGAACTGTCTGTGCTCCAGCTGATACTCTGTAGCCTTTCGGTTCCATCTGTTGCTCAACCAGTCTGGCAGTTTAGCAGCAAGTCTTTGATTCTCTATCCCATCATTGAGGACGTTCAGATTCTCATTAGTAGTCATTGCAGATTGACAGCTTTGTAAAAAATCCACAAACTTTCTCAACTCTGCACTATCTTTACATTGGAGCCTTGGCCATGTGTGCAACTTGTCCCTAAATGCCTTAGCGATGACAAAAGGCTCTCCATAACGTTCATTGAGCATATTCCATGCTGCTATATAGGAATCTTCAGAGCCAATCAGAAAATAGCCTTCTAAGGCTTCTTTAACACATCCACCTACATACTTCTGTAGGAAAAATATCTTTTCTGCAATGGGGATGTTCTTTCTCTCTACTGGAGTCTGAAAGGATGCTTTCCAATGTTTAAACTTAAGTGGATCCCCACTAAATACTGAGGGTTCTGGAATAGGTAGCCTATTAGCTGACATAGCTTCTGCCAAAACATTTACAAGCTCACCTGTGCTCTCATGGATGACATTTAACTGTTGTGGTGGCTGTGTGGGTTGATTAGCAGTGTTCTTGAACTCAGTTACCTGTATGTTTGCAGGACTTGGAGTGATGCTTTCTTGCTTTACTGAAAAGTAGTCCTCTTCATAAACTTGTAATTTTGCCTTTGCTGCATTGAGTCCTTTCAGATTTTCCAGTCTTTGAATTTCCCTTTTTAAGTCCTCGACTGACTTTCTCCTTGCAGCACTTTCCTCTTGTTGTCTCTTTATCACAGCTGCCTTTTCTTTTTCTCTTTTCAACTTGCGTTCTGATTCCTCTCTTTCCTCTAGCTGGAGTTGTGACATCACAGCAGCTTGCTGTTCTGCAGTTATGCGTTTGTCTTCTTCTTCTATGGTTTGGATTTTTTCTCTGAATTTCTCTTGTTCAGTCATTATCTTAAGCACAGCCTTTGTGGCTTCATACTCCGCTGCAGCTTCTTGTCTTTTGGCGGAGGAGCCATTAGAAACAGCTGAACATGCTTTAAACAGACTATGAACTGAGACACTAGCTGAGCTAGAAGATGTAAATACAGAACTGGCATCAGGCCAAACAATCTCCTCCTTATTTGTTCCCTCAACATGGCACTGGATGTTTTGCAAAACTACTTTAGTCACTGATGTACATTTGTCTAACTTGGAACGCATATTATGAGGTGGTCCATCCTTTGCTCTGTATTGGTCATAAATATCATTAAGAGCAGCTAGTTCTCTTTGCACAATGTCCATGTGATCTTCAAGGATGTCAACAGGATCTCCTTTAATAACAGATTTTTTAGCAACTTTAATTAATGCTTTCCATCTGTCATAAGTGCTTTCAAAGTGACGTTGTAACACCTGTAGTTTTTCTTTATGGAATTCTCTTCCTTTTCCTGTTAGCATGCGAGGTCTTTCACTCCTACGCAGCTCTTCTTGCCCAGATTGAATTAAAAAGGTTTCATCTACTTGCTCACCTACGGCAGCCTTTTCTGCATCAGCAAGTGTTTCTGTTTCATTTGTTTCTGACATTTTGTTTTACTTGGAATGTTATGGATTTTTACTTGGTGAAAATCTCCTTTTAACTTGACTTAAATTCACTTTGAACTTTGTTGCATTATTTCCCTTCCCGTTACCTTTTGTGCTGTTGTTGTCAGGCTTCACACAGTTCCTTGTTGTTACTCCCTCCTTGTGTCACTTCCCAAACATTAACTTAAATGTCTGGCTTCTGCACGTCTTTATGAAGAAGCAACAGATGAACGTGTGTCCATTAATTTTGCAGCAGCTTGGTCTTTGGTGCAATGACGCGATGTGTCCACCAGAGGGCCGGGAATCATGCAGCTCCGAGTTCGACTATCACTTCCACCTCTTCTTGACGGCAATAAAGAGTTCGGTACTGCTGGTGTGAAGTCAGCTTTATTAAAATTCTTCTTATAATTTATTTTCCACTGACACCAAAACCACCGTCGAACTAAAATACAACATAAACTTAAATGAGATGGTTTCATGAGTACAAAATGACATAAAAAATTATATAAATACATATAAACATACCTCGCTGGCTGACCCTTCCTTTTGAGGTAGAAATGAGAAATAAAGGACCTTTTAAACTAAAATTTCTCTGTAAAACTTCTTGCAAATGTCATGCCTTCATGCTGTGTGCATCCTTTTCTTCTAGTTTTTCAGCGAACATGCTAGATTCCACACTTCCTAAAGAGGCCTTTCAAAATAAGACTCATAACAAAAAATTGCATAATACAAAGTAAACAAACAGCAGAGGTGAATAGCTGGTGCCTGCTAGGATTGTTAGCCTCACTTTGGGGCTTGTTTTAAACTTTATGGATCTTTTTCTAATTCCCATCAGCATGTTCAGTTTGGGGATAGGATACTTTGAAAACTCCATTATAGTTTTCAGGATAATAATCAGTACATGTTTATTAGGACAAGATTTAATTCAACAAATGTTTGCTATTATAATTTTTTTTCTTTCACATCAGGACAGATTCATGTGTTTCATACATACTTAATTATTCCTGCATAAATGTGAACAATATGCAGCTCCAAAAACTTACTTGCATACCCAGAGTAGGGTTAGTCTACCCTCTAGTGGTGACAGATTAAATTCTCCATAGTACAGTCACAACGTTTGTCAATGTTATCTACTGTTTGTTTCTTTTTACTTAAATGATACTAATTTCAACTGACTGTGTGATGTTATGGTTGTAATGATTATGTTTTTAATCAGAAAAGCAAGCTGACGTGTCACTATCTGGAATAACAGGTTATGTTTCTGCTCAGATCAAATAAAGTTCCGCTCTGAATCTTCTTTGTCATTAATTTTAATAATAAAACCAGATCTTTTTTTCTGATCTGGTAAGATCAGATTAGTGTGCATGGCCTTTCACAAGAATGCCATGCTGGTTCTGCCACAGGAAGTGTGATGTTGACATTGATGGTGATATGAAACATTTAAAAGAGCTGTCTGCTGATGGCCTAGTGCTATGTTTAGTGTGGTGATGAGGAGAGAATACTGTAGTCTTTAATTACCAACCTTATTTGATTTCTGCTGTCTATACCAGGCTGTGGAGAGTAGTAGGGTAGGGACATGGATTTTATAATAACATATTTTATAAAATATTATAAAATACATATTTTTATGTTATTTTTTTAGGAAACCACACACATACAAAGATGCCATCCTTATGTGTGTGCCCTAAAATAGTAGAGGAGGCAAAAATGGATCAGCTTCCAACCCCTTTGTCTCTGTCTGTCCTCAAGAAGTACTTTGCACGTGTTCATGTGTGAACTTTTTGACAAAACCTGAAACTAGCACCTTTTAGTCTCTGTATTACATTATATATTAAGTAATTACATCGTTATTTGTCTACATATTGAATGAAATTGGTTTAAAAAAATAACTAATAATAGATATTCCCTATTTTGTTTTACATGCTTAGTGAAATGTTCATAGAAATCAAATGTTTGGCAATCGCAGCTTACCTTTATCAGTGGTAGTTTTATCATCTATTGCAAAAACTAAGTTCCTCAGGAAGTCTCAAATGGATAATTCTCTTGAAATTACCTTCGCTTTAGGAAAATATTTCAAGTCAAGCTGTCTTTCTACAGTCTTTTTTAAATCATGCAAAACTAAATAATGCTTTTTCAATGATATCTCTCTCTGTATACCCAGACATTTTATCAGGAATGACTTGTGAGAGGCCATTTAGAGATGTGCCAAAAAACATATCATTCCATTTGTCTAAAACTACTCTTTCAGTCAGTTTTGCTCATATATATAGCAATTTTTCTTCTATATCTTTATTTTAACAAATAGTTCTGTAAGGGTTGCATCATCATACAAACTGTATAGCTAAAAATGTAACTGTATAAATATAAAAACATAACTCCCAGGTAAGTTTAATTTTTTCATCTAATACAAGAAGTGAAAAAGAAACAAAAAATTATTAAAATAGATAGAAAAATACTTAAAATATAAGAATTATTGTAAAGATAAACAATGTCTGTGCATTATATTTAAAATCAATCATCAAATACTAGTCAGCGCTTTAAATAGTTATTCTTCTTTTCTTGAAAAATAAAATAAAGAAGCTAAAGGCTCAAAATACAAAAGTGTAGTTTAACTTTTATATATAGGTTATATTGGTCTATATCTGAAAAACTATAATCTTTAAAAATTCATTTGGTGTTAAAGAAACAATATTAGCCAAATAATGTTTGAATATAGTACAGCACGAATTTAAACCTACTTTCAGCCCCGCTCTTTATGTCATCCAAGACGACATTAATTAATTTCTAAGGGTTTTTACAGTCTGTTTATTTACCTCAGTGACATTTATGTGCTAAATCATAAGATGTCTGTATGTTTATATTTACCAGTAGAAGTTGTTACTTGTTAAATTTTTTCTGACCTTGTAATTAGAAATACATGATACATTTGTTTGTAGAAGTATGTCAGTATCTTCTATGTATGTCAAATAAAAATAAATTAAAAGAAGCTGTAACTGTCCATGTCATGTTTTTTTTTTTTTTTTGGGGGGGGGGGGGGGGGGGGGGGGGGTTGTTAAAAAGCAAATGCTAAAGGAGAGAGATGATTTGGAACAGTAGAAAAGCAAAAACACCAAGGGCTTCATAAAACTGCAAACTCAGCTCACTTCTGCGCTCTGGTGGAAATACAATGTAACTACAACTAATGTTGTACAGGTTATATAGTTAACATTTCTTAAACTTTACCCTAGACAAGCTTTATTATCATTTTGTATACACAGAGTGATTACAATCCCGAAATTTCATTTTCTACAGCTTTCACAACATTTCCATTCCTCAAAGTGCAGCAGCGATCAAATGTAAACATTATGGGAGAAAGAAAACTAAAACCATATGGTGCAAAAACAAAACAAACAAAAAAAAGGAATGATATGGTCATATGATGTAGAGACTGTGACAAATTTCAGTGTTTCTCAACAGTTCAGCTGTTTGATGGTGGTGGGGAAGAAGCTGTTTCGGAATCTGCAGAACCTGCATTGAATGCTGCAAAGCCTCTTCCCACAGGGCAGCAGGGATAACAGTCCATGGTGGGTGTGTGTGCCAATTGTGCCATTTTGAGGGAGTTTTTTATTTTATTTTATCATCCCACTTTGGGGATGGACAAACATAAGGTCAGGGGGTGCTCAGGATCTCAGACAGGAGCAGGGGAGGATCAGAGCGAGGAAACCAGCAGAGACCAAACTAGAACCTTGTAGGGGTTCTAACAGATGGGACCAGCTTTAGTGTCCAGAGAAAACAAAGAAAGTTTAGGGCAGGAACCTGGAAATAGGGTGCACCAGAGCCGGGCAGAAATTGTTGGTCATTTCCCCCTCTGGAAGCGAAGAGTGGGGGATCCTTGTTAGAGACGTCAAAAGTATTAATATTATTAATAATTCTATAAAATATTACTCAAGTAGAAGAATAAATCCTACTGTTTAAAAGTGTTTTTGTAGAAGTTGGAGAATCAACTTAGGCTTTTTACTAAAGTAAAAGTAAGATTTTTAAAAATGGAGCCTAGGCGGAAGTTCAACTGAAGAAACTCATTGCTTTCCTACATCCACCTGCGACACAGCCAATCAACTTTGAGGCACGCCTCCACGAAAGCCAGTCGGCATCCAAAGTTCATCTTAAAAGGCCTCCGATACACACCTGTCTGCTTTTGTGACCCCGTTTCAACCCACCTCCAGCCCCTCCTCCACCATCGTAGCTAAAGCTTCATCAGAGTGTCATTCCTCCCGGACTCTTACTCCATTCTGTCATGATCTGGCCTGTTTGCTCTCCCTTAATTAGTAATTCCTCTCACCTGTTTCCTGTGGTTTATATTCAGTTCAGCCTGAGCATTCAGTGCCAGATCATTGCTTGTCTTTTTGTTAGTCTGTCCAGTTTTATTTGGTTCATGTCCTGGATCCTAGCTGCCAGTGGATAGAGGGTTTTTGTGTTTGTCTCGTCTCCTGATCGTCCACTGTTCCTCCCCCACGGAGTCCTCTGGGTTTTTGGCTCATTATGGGGGGAGGTTCAGTTTTTATCAAAGTAAGCCTGGCTCCAGGGTGGAGACCAGTTTAAAGTCCAGCTTCAAGTTCCGGTTCCTACGTCCTGTCTCGGCTACCCTCTTCCACTGAGCCTGACTGTCTCTCCTGTCTCAGCTTAACCGGTCTGGCAGAAGACCGCCATGATGAGCCTGGTTCTGCCACAGGTTTCTTCCCAACAAGGAGTTTTTCCTCTCCACTGTCGCTTTATGCTTGTTCATCATGGACAGGTTCATAGAACCTGTGATAGCCAACTGGACCTCCATGTTCCAGGTCCCTGAGTGAAGCTCTAGTATCAGCTCACGCAGTCCACTGGATCTCCCCATAAAGCTCAGCAGACCGTCTCGCCAACCAGCAGTCTACAAACTGACCAACTTCATCTATTTTCACTCCACCACCAGATACAGGCCTTGGGGGGAAAACAGCTCTGTTATTTGCTGTAAGGAGATGATGTAAAAATGTATTGAAAAATAGTTACTCCAGTAAAATACATTTAGACAAAATTTCTACTTAAGTAACGTAACAAAGTATACTTTGTTAGTTGACACCTCTGATCCTAGTAGGGCAGCTGTAGATTAGAGCAATCCAGCAAGCGGAGTGTAGAGCAGAGAGGAGGTGCAGCATCTAGCCAGAAAATGGCTGGAGCTAAGGGAGGAGGATGGGTGATGAATCATTTTTAATGGTCTTTCTAAGGCTGGAATAAAACAGCTTTTAGCAATCCACCCACAAACCGTTTAATAGTACTCCTTACTTCAATACACAAATGTTCAGATTTTTCATCTCCGGTGACCATCACTTTGCATTCATTCCAAGTATTTCAACGCTGCTGCATCACTGAAATTCCCCAGTTGTTCCTGCTGCCTAGCTAGAAATGTATCGATCATATCACTTTGCATGGCAGTGCTCCTGAACATGCCTCTATAAAGATATAAAACAGCTTTATTGCACCTTTAAACACACCAATGCTTGTTCTGAACCCGGCTGTTTTTATTCTGGGATCTTCTCAGAGTATGCAATGTAAACACAATTTATTCTAGTCATGTTTTTACCAAAATCTTTGATATTAAGCACAAACTTGTAGAGGAATTAGTTTATTTCACCCTAGGTCTGCTTTGTGAGTACTGATATG